TCAGAGTGACAGAACACTCTCCACAAGACTGTATGACAAGAGGGATGACTTAAACTATCCAATGGTCAACTTTCCTTCATGCCGATCAATATTCCACAGCGCCAGCCTTTGGTGTTTACATTTCACAACTTTTGAGATACAATCGATCATGCCCTCTCTACCAAGATTTCAAAGGTCGTCATATGACCATTGTTTTTTGCAAGGTTACAACATTCAAGGCCACATTAAAGCTGTCAAAACGTATTATGGTAGACATGTAGAGGACATTTCCAATATGACGCAACAGTGACAAAAATGATGTCCGATGCAATTCCCTATTTTGACTTGTATCATACGTTCCCAAATGTTTGGACAAATGACTTGTTTTTGCATGTGTATGTGACGGATGACATCGGTGGGGCACGATGCGCGCAACTGTTCGCGTACACCTGGTTTCATAATAAGCGTACAGTCGTCTCTCCTGCAGAGATTTCTTATGAATATGGAAAGGGTTTTGTCGCTTTTATGTAACCATATATGTGATTACTAAACAAGGGTGTGTCGTTTACAATTTACAGTTACAATTGATGCTGCTACAGCACTGACAATGTATAATTTCAAACGAGACAATATGTCTGTACACAATACAGTGTTAATTATGAACAAAAGTAAGACACGTTAGTTTATGTTAATAAACACGAAAGACAATACAATTTAAATTCAACTCCAATCGCCTACGTCTCTGGTGTCATTATTTGAAGAATGTTTCCTCTGGGGACTTTGGAAACAGAAAAAGAAAAATGCGACTTGAAGCTCTAAAGACAAAATGGGTATTATTTCTCTAACCCGAGATAATCTCCACGGATACAAGCCAAGCTCCTGTAATTACACGTTACGCTTCTGCCGAAGAGGCAAACAACGTCTACATTTTGTGCTGCTGAATACACGGATCAATTTCTGAAAAAAAATAATATCTTCCGCGCTACAATTTCATGTTCGTTATGGAAACCGGCACCCAGGGAACATTAGAGTGAAAGCAATAATCAATTCTGACGAAACGAAAATTTGAAATTTGTCAACTTTACTGATGACTCATACACAAGAGGATCTTGGAGAGCAAACATCAATACGTCTTGTCTGTTTAGTCACGATCCCGTGGACACATTGCGTGCCGCTGGATACAGCCCTAATGCAACCTGGATTGTTCTACGTGTTGGTCCAAACAGTTTTTGTTGAACCCAGTAAGATCGGATATTGAATTGTGTCTGGAACACAAAGAGAGGGACAGCTGTTTGACGTTGTGTTGAAGTATTACACTTGTTTATGTATGTATATGGATAAATATGGTTCACATTAGCGAAATGTTCATTCACGTTAAATACACTTTGAGAAATGTGATGTACTTGTTTCTTATTGTATTAATTGTTATTGTCAAAAATATGATTTGTACTTAAACTGAATACGATGTCACCTACAAAGTGTTTTCATACGTGTCTACATTCAACCTAGAGTGTGGTAAGACCAAATCAATGGCTACACGAATGAGAAATTGCGTTTTACTACGATAGCCGAAATAAAAGTCGGTTAGTCCCGAAAATCAATAAAACATATCTGTGGAAAACAAGTGACAAAAACGTATTATCTGAATTAAAATATCTGTGGGAAAAAAAGCGACAAAAAAGTGTTATCTGAACCCTAAGAAATGTATACCTACTTTTAATGTCTTGTTTGTACACTTGATTTGTTTTTATTGAACCACCTCGGATTAATTTCATCACTCAAACTGACTGAGGCCAATCGAAATTGAAGTTATTACAAACAAAATATTTAACAAAGGACACATGAAAACTCTTACTTTTCAGCATTAAACTCTTTAAAATATTTTTTGAAGATACTTTTAACAATTCTTTCCCCAAACTATGGTATGTTACATCGGTGTCATGTGGCCATCTACAAAGCGCAAGCAAATCAGTCAAAGATAGGCAATAATAACGTGGGAGGGTATAATAGTTATAAACCAATTTGACTTTCTAATGTCTCGAGGATTAGAACGCAGGATGAAAATGATAGCCCATAGCCAAGTGACCCCCACAAGCCATTTGATGCTGATCTGTGAATACGAAACCCCCTGTGTCCAAAAGACATCAGCCGTGCTTGTATGCTAGTAACCCCCCAGGGATGCGAGAATACTATTTGAATACCCATTGACTGAGATAATATGTCATGGGCTTTGATCTGGCACCTCTATGATATTTAGTGTGGAGCTGTACAGGGTGTATTATAAAACATATTACTGAGTTGCCAACCACAGATATTGTCGATAATGATGTTAACGTTATATTGTGTGAGGCAGACATTGTGCTCAGCACGTCTCGGTATCCTTGGGCAAGAGCATGGGTATCAAAGTAAACTGTAACTTTCTAAAAAGTAGTCATCAAAGATTTCACATCAATAGAAAGTCATCTTGTTGGAAATGCCTTCTTTTTGCCTCTGGCTGCTTCTTGTCACAGGGTGTCAGATCTTTCGACCACGACTTTTAAAATCAATCACAAGTTAATATCACTAGGACGTCAAGCACCACACACGCTGGCCTTCACCCTCTGTCCATCATGTCATCAATACAAACGTTATTAAGTGTCTCGATGCGTCATGACAATTCCGAGGTAACCTATTTATGAAGCATTGGTGTAAATGTTTAGAAAATACAATAGTGGGCCCCAATGCTCCAGGCTATCTAAGACTTCATGGCTGCATATCTTTCTGCTCAGAAACATCAATAAATATTAAAATCTCAGACACTTTAAACCAGGAATTATGTGTGCAACAACATCAAAGTCAATTACTATTTTAAGTCCTTTTGAGACGTATTGAATGAACAACTGCAATTTAGCATCTTATAAATTCTCCAACAAATAAAGAAGTATATTTAATCTACTAATATTTCTTTTGAATATTTGAATCCATTGGTGGCGATCTACAAATGGAAATTAAGCAAACGAACGAGAACGGTGATCGCTTCATGTCACCAAGTCCCTGAGTTCAATGGCTGAATGGAGCTCAGCCACTACATCTAACGTTTCTAATTATTAAGCCGGGATTGATCGTGACCCTATTCATGATGGACATTGACCACATGGCAGTTTTGATTAATGGTATTTTCCACCCGTTGGACCCTATTTCTCGACGCTTCTGCTAATCAAGAACATGACTCGACCCCCCGGGAATACAGGCCGGAGAAGTTCTGTGACAGATCCTGATAGCTCCGAAGACTTCCTGGCAATATATCTCAGCCACATGCCAATACTGCATTAAGAACAGCTTCTAGTTCTACTCTCCGATGATAATAAGTCACACATGCGACGGTAATATGTCTCAATGGAATTGTTGACAGTGACAGTTAACACGTGTATGATACACAATATGGCCATTTTGTTTATAGGCCTTTTTGGCTCCCAGAATGAAACACGTAACACTATATCTGATTAAAAGACTACCACAGAGAATACATACGGCTGCTGTCAGCATCTTCTTTCTTTACCGAAGAGATGAATTGAATTATCTCGACATCAGCAGGACAATTTGGTTGTAAAATGATCGGGGAATTTTGAGTTATGATTTTGTTATGATTACGAGTGTACGTCAACGGATTGCATTTGGGTATTCTTAAAAATCTGCATTCGCAAGAGTTATCATGTATAACTGTATTTGATGGTCATATTAATTTAGTCAGGAAACGGCTGCAAACTAGGTTGCTGGCCGTTGTCAGTATGGTGTTGCCTAATGGAGCTGATGGGACTATCGCCCGCTTTAATGGTATTTTGTTGACATCAAGGCAAGTCAGCTTTACGGTTGGTTGGTTGGTTGGTTGGTTTGTTGTTTAACGCCGCACTCAGCAATATTCCAGCTATATGACGGCGGTCTGTAAATAATCGAGTCTGGACCAGACAATCCAGTGATTGATATCATGAGCATCGATCCACGCAATTGGGATAAATGACATGCATCAACCAAGTCAGCGAGCCTGACTACCCGATCCCGTTAGTCACCTTTTACGACACGCATAGTCGCCTTTTACGGCAAGCATGGGTTGCTGAAGACCTATTCTAACCCGGATCTTCACGGGTCTCAGCATTACGGGGTAATCCCGAGGGTAATCGGTTCGTATAAGTTCTCTATATCGGAGAAATCCACAAGCACGGGTATTGTGCTGACAGATCGAGGAATATAAGCTGCACCATCCTGGGATTCGAACCCACTACAAGCGGATCCTGGCATGGTTAATTGAGGCAACGCTGCACGGTAATCTGACTCGCATAAGATCACAAAGCCACTTCTACGCTCAGGTATCATAATAGACGCAAATAAAATATTAAATTCTACTAGTCATACCAATATCATATCAGCCATATCATGACGACGAAAACAGCACACGTCAATAACGTCTATGAAAATAATTATTTTAAATTGTTACTCATCGGAGCCATTGTTTAATGGTTAATATCTAAAAGATATTGTTTCATTTCATATCATTCCAACAGAAATCACCGGTTTGGCATTTAAGACATTTAGCAATTATTCGTACAAACAATATTGTTGTTAAATCTTTGAATGGTGTTTAGAAGTGATACACACGAGGAAGAGAATTTATGGATGTCAACTTCTTTATTATGAGGAACACAACGTTTTGGGGTATATACTTACTCCTTCATCAGATCATTATAATATTCACCTGATGAAGGAGTAAGCATGTACTCCGAAACGCCTCATAATAAAGAAGCTGACATCCCTAAAAAATTTAATGTTCTTCGTTATATTGTTATTATTATTCATCTCATATTATTATGAACTTTACATTTCTACAAGTGTGTCTCATAGGTCAAATATGGCCGAATGTTGTGACTTTTAGTCAGCAATTATTATACACTGATACGTACAACTAGTGACACGTCTAGGCTATTCAACAATCACGCGCACCTGAGACACCCGAGTTCCAATCGAACTGCGCACTCCTCCACGCTGCAACCCAAAGAGTTCTAGGCAATTTTATGGAACACTCGATTTATCGACAGTCAGTGGTTGATGTCTGCAAAAACCAAATGCCGAACTGTGTTATCTAATTTACGGACATTTGGGTGGTGATGGCAAATCTATCCAGACCGTATGGGGTCGATCAATTATAACACGGACTAATGAGTGCCGACCAAGGAACCGCGACCATTGCCGATGTCCAAGGCCTAACCAATCTGAAAGTGTGCCTCTTTCGTGCGAGTGCCTCGGCTCGGGATGAAGTGCACGAGCAGGTCTGATGCATGCTGACGTGGAACCAAGGAAGATGCCACAGGCCTACCTCGCTTTATTAGGCTTTGTATTTGTACAGGTGAGTTCTTCTGTAATTACTGATGCTCCATGTTAAGGGTTACCTGTGTGTTTTACAGTAACAATGTGGCATATGTGTACTATAATGACTGCCTCTTATAATGGTATGCAGTAAACGAGAAGAAAATGCCGTTCTTCAATATAATCCTGTTTTAGTGGTGGGTTTAATTTTAGCATCTCCTTTGTAAAATAAATTGTTAGCGATCAATAATATTTATAAATAAAGGGCATTTAATGTGATACGAATACATGTAAATGAATTTTGTTCTTTATGAAATGGAGGTTTATTATTCAAACAATTTTAAACAACGTAAATAGTTGCGTATTTTGAATGTTATAACAATGTGATTCAGTATCATATGTTGAGTAGGTTAAGTGTACTGTGTTATATTCTGGTGTCTGACATCTCAAGAATACTCTCTGGTGTGTAAACCATATTACCTGATATTGAGTGTTTAAACGTCAAACGCATTCACTATAATGGTGTATGGTGTCAAGAATGAAATACATAATTTGTACGAAATGCACGTAATCGTGGATCATCGACAACAGGTATACCATACTACTTAACCTTTGATAGATATTCTTAGCGTCCTTTGTAACTGGATGTGCGAGATGGTGGCGTACAAATAGGATCCGATTTGGGCATGGAATTGACGTTAAGCTTCATTTCAAGTAATATTATCCAAAGAAGACATGGGAGCTTGGCTTAATATGTCTGTTTATATCATATTATTATATTTGTTTGCAATATAAACTCAAACATTTATAGACCGTCATACCGAAAGACGGCTTGAGGTTATAGAGCCAATGCTACCGATTTTATTGAACGAATGTACCTGTTAAACCATACTTATTCTTAGAAACCTACATCGCTATGTGCCTGTTGTTTCCTGCATTGATTCTCGGTCAGTGTTTATTAACTCATTTGTTATTCACTGCTGGTTGATATATGTGTTTATGTAGATAAAACATACATCATAAAAACAAACATCCATAATCCATGGTGCATACCACCGTGAAACGTTATAGTTTCTCGTCAAGGTACAAGGGTTAAACCGAGTGGTCGGTTCAAATTAATCGAAGGTTGTGGGATCATTAATAATGTTATTGGTGTGGATTGTTAGGAATGAATATCCTACAGTGAGTGAGTAAGTTTTGAACAGTATTTCAGTAACCTCGCGGCGTGACAACTTGATTTGGGAGGAACGTAACGTTTGATTCAGACGTTACAGCTTTGGTTTGTTTGGTTTGTTGTTTTACGCCTTACTCAGCATTATTCCAGCTATATGACGGCGGTCTGTAAATAATCGAGTCTGGACCAGACAATCCAGAGACTGATATCATGAGCATCGATCCACGAATTTGGGATAGATGACATGCTTCAAGCAAGTCAGCGAGCCTGACAACCCGATCCCGTTAGTCGCCTCTTACGACAAGCATAGTCGACTTTTACGGCAAGCATGGTTTGCTGAAGACCTATTCTTTCCCGGATCTTCACGGGTTACAGCTTTTGGGAAACCCACGAGCACAATCATCTTTCACAAAGAACTGATGCATTGTACATGTACACTTTACTCCAGGGGATGGTTCCACTGATCCGTTGATCAATGATAAGCCTTCAAACTGAAACCTTGAATTGTAGTTTCAACCTCGATGATATTGATTGATGCTCACACTATCAACCTCATGTTGGTCCAATCCTGACGGGTGGCCCAGTCGTCTAAGGCACCGCAATTCGTTGTGCATAGCTGCGTCCCCTTGGTAAACCAGAAACCTATGGTCGTGGGTACGAATCCCAGTTCACCCCGAACATGTTTCTAGGTTTGTTAGCGCCATACCCGTGCTCGTTGGTTTCTGCGAAGACCTGCTTCACTACAGGCTTACCCGTCTCCCCCCACCCTCACCTCCCCCCTTATAGTAAGCTGACTCGCCGTGATATGACTGGAACAGCGGTATTAAAACCAACTCACGCACACTAGTTAGTCCAGACACTGGTATCTAAATGCAGTTTACATATAACTGTTATGTTGCTATTTCTATCTATATGCGGTAATACATCCTTTATTATAATCTTTGATTCGTAAGCAACACACAGGTTGGTTTGACCTACGACTTTAACTTTTGTGCCATATGAAAAAAACGCAAACACTACCTACCCAAACAGGCGCTAGCCTAACTCACCAACCAAATTATAAAACCGTTTTGTTTGCAGTGAGTAATGTCTCATAAGTTAACAAATGAAGGCAAACCGAACAGTTGATTTCCCAAGTAGTGTGGAGCCGGGATAACCGACGCTCTATTTCGCGTTTTCCTTCTTATTGCCTGAATCAGGCAACGTTCCGCTTTCTAAACGATATCATCCATTATGGTTGCCTGCCTGGCTGCATCGTCACCATCAGTTATGCTTCTGTTGTCTAGTATTGATACTGGACGTTCACATTGAATCATTATGATTGTTCTTTTATCTGAATCACTGGATAAGCGTTCCGCTATCAACGATTTCTTCCGCCTGGCTGCATGTATTTCGCATCAGATCTGAGACTAAACGATGAAAATGAATGTAAATGCAAACTTAGGCCAGAGATTGTCTTTGATCTTCCCAGCATTAATGACAAAGATCCAAATGTGATCTGGTTTTCATTAATAGATGCCATCAGTCTGGAATATATGAATAGTCTTTGGGTAATTGGGGCTCATTTATATCCACATCTACGGTAGTGTAAGCATATCTATAGCTAAGTAATGAAAGTGCAGACCGGTGATAGCGACGGTCAATCGTTGTCAGTCTAATGGAGGAGTCGCTGGAATATCTAAATATATCCTTGCTATAAAGGTATACGGACACATCTGATGATGTGGAGCAGAGATGATATTCAAGGGACAAAGACTTTGGATCATTAAGACTCCCACTCTCATATCCCGTCACGGTTACATTCAAGACGAACCGTCTTCTTGTCAAGGATCCTATTTGAGAAATGTATAGGAAAGCCAGTAATAGACCCTCGGGGTTAAGACAACAATGATGACTCATAGAGATTATACATGACATGCTTGCGGAGAACGAATGGAGTTTCTTCGTTTCTAAGGTTTATGATTGCTATGCAATATTACATGTTTCTCTCTTCGTATTGTTCGATGTCTTGCGAAATACACATAAAGGATTGTTATATTATCATGGAAATAGCATAGCAACTATGTCAGCAGAAAGAAGGGGTTCCTGAGAATTATATAATTGGTACAACCTGCAACAAACACAGACTACTACATTCGATATTCAAACGAAATAAAAATGAATTCCAACACTGGTTTAGAAGACACGCGCAATCATCATGACCATAATAATTATATCCATAATCATAAAGGAGGAGAATGATGATGATGATAATGATAATGATGATGATCATGATGATGATATGTGTTCGAATCCATGTTCGCCTTGATTTTGTTTATACGTTTTCCTCTTTCGGCATTCCTTACCACATCAAGCTGACAGGCCCTGATATAATTGACATACTGAGTGATCAGAAAGGCATGAATATAAACTGACTCACTTAGGCAGTTCGTCGTCACAGGTAGAATACGATTATTACCACATACTGCTACTGATGATAATAAAATAAGTGAACAAATTAACGCTACTGCTCTTTCTATCACTGCTAATAGTACTGATCCCTGCAGAACCGGGTAATAATTGGTTTTAAGCAACTACTACTACTACTACTGCTGCTGCTACCACTACCACTACTTATTATTACTACTAGAATTGTACTGTGCACTTTGGCACACATTTATTTGTCTTATGATCTTCTTGTGAAGCCTGTCAAGACTCATGAAAACAAGGCATTCCATTCTTACTCGAGCCAAGGATGCGGGACATAATCTTAATGTCAATGTTGATTTTGTTGATGGTTCTGTACTGCTGGACGGTACAGAAATTAGTGTCAACCAAGCGAAGTGCCATATCAAACCGGCCCAGGAGAGGCCATGTGAACGACAACTGTATTTAGTTTGTGTGAGTCCTCCGCTTGGGTGAAGTCGGCTGGCCTGAAGAGTGAGACAGTAGTCATTCTGTTTGTTGCTCAGGATCAGTCACTTCCCGCTCGAAACCGTCAATGTGTGATTTTTGCATCAAAATGTAAATGAAATGTAGAATATGCAATGAATGTGACTGTCCAACACATTGTCATTGGATGCCCAGCTTTGGCACAAACACAGTATCTTAAGCGACATGATGGAGTGGCTCGATCCTTTTATTACCGTCTTCGCCATGGTACATATGGTACGACACAGAATATGTAGAGGGCGTCATTGAAAATGATAAAAACAATTGTTTATGGAATAGGTCCGTATACAGCCTCAGACGTATAATATATCCAATAAAAACAACATTTATATCATTGAATTTTCTGTGATTGACTAGATTGAGGAGAAAATGACAATTATGCAGACCTCAACTTTCGAAATGTCACGCTTGCATCCCAAGTACAAAGTTGTCCGTCTCCCCATTGTTCTCGGTGCCTTAACTATAGGTTTGGTACCTCCCAATCTGTTGACTGACATTGGGAGAGTACCCGGGTTTGCTACAAGAAATACAGCCCTTCTGACAATCTGGGTAATGCAGAAGGCTGCAGTGTTGGGGAGTCTTCACATTCTCCGAAAAGTTCTAGGTGGGTTTGACTAAGCAACGCTTTTTTGGAGAAGTTCCATTCGCTGTCTGGGCTGCGTGTAGAGGGGGCAAGGGCCCCGTGCTGATGATGAGCCTAAACAGCCAGACTGTGCCAGGATCATCCACACCCTTTTTGCTGCATTTTTTATTTGAATCTGTAGATAAAAATGAATACAATACAGTGACCACACACATTATTCTGATACCCAAATTTGGCCCATCTATGTTGCATTCTTAACTTACTGTATTACAGTGCATTCAAGAAACGTTTTAGATGTAAGTTGTATATTAGGTCCTCATACACAGTTTAGTTGTGGACATTTGACACGGAG